GCCCCCTGACCTCCATATGGCCACCACACGCCCCCTGACCTCCACATGGCCACCACGCCCCCTGACCTCCATATGGCCACCACACGCCCCCTGACCTCCATATGGCCACCACGCCCCCTGACCTCTATATGGCCATACGCCCCCTGACCTCCATATGGCCACACCCCCCGACCACCACGCCCCTGACCTCCATTTGGCCACGCTCCTGACCTCCATATGGCCACTCCCTGACCTACATATGGCCACGCCCCCAGACCTCCACATGTCCTCCATATGGCCTGACCTCCATATGGTCGAGGGAGATCTTGCGTATGTCCTGGTGGTGCGCGAGCAGCAGCGACGCGTGCCCCTCCACCGCCTTGCAGGTCGCTGGTACCTGCAGGTCCCGCTGGTACCCCGCCACGCAGGTACACTTGTACGACCCCGGCGTGTTGGTACACACCTGCGAGCACGTACCTGGTGCCACGCACTCGTCCACGTCTGCCGGGGTACATGGGGGTACTTCAAACTGGGGTATCATGAGTATAATACTGAGGTAACACACCACAAGTACCACACTGAAGTGCCACACTGAGGAACCACACTACAAGTACCACACTGAGGTACACCACCACAAGTACCACACTGAGGTACACCACCACAAGTACCACACTGAGGTACACCACCACAAGTACCACACTGAGGTACCACGCTGAAGTACACCACAAGTACCACACTGAGGTACACCACAAGTACCACACTGAGGTACATCACAAGTATCACACTGAGGTACACCACAAGTACCACACTGAGGTACACCACAAGTACCACACTGAGGTACACCACAAGTACCACACTGAGGTACACCACAAGTACCACACTGAGGTACACCACAAGTATCACACTGAGGTACACCACAAGTACCACACTGAGGTACACCACAAGTACCACACTGCGGTACACCACAAGTACCACACTGAGGTACACCACAAGTACCACACTGAGGTACATCACAAGTACTCACCTACACACTGTGTTCCATGTACCAAGTGGTACCCAGGCCGGCAGTCGCAGTGGTACCTGCGGACCATCACGTACCATTACAAGTGTACCACCGCGCTATAATTAATATATTAATAATTATATAAATTATAATTGATAGTTTTTATATAATATAGATATGCGGGAACTATATTATATATACGTATTATATAAAATATATATAATATACATAATGATATAGATGATAAGTGATGATATTGAGAGTAGCAGTTCAATGGAATATAGCAAGTAATATAATGTATAACTAATATAATATAGAATAGTAATTACTTAATTGATATTTAATTAATAATTACATTCAATTAATAATTGCAATATTAATTTATATATACGAGTGGAGGGGTGTGGGGGTGAGGGAGGCACTCACCCCACGGGGGTGTGGGGGTGAGGAGGCACTCACCCCACGGGGGTGTGGGGGTGAGGGGGGCACTCACCCCACGGGGGTGTGGGGGTGAGGGAGGCACTCACCCCACGGGGGTGTGGAGTTGAGGGGGCACTCACCCCACGGGGGTGTGGGGGTAAGGGGGTTCACTCACCCCACGGGGGTGTCTATGCACAGCTGGTCGCAGCCGCCGTTGCCCACCAGGCACTCGTTCACCCCACAGCTGGCCTCGTCACCACCATCTGCATCACCACCACGGTTACTGAACATTCTCATCAATAATCATATGTAAATAATCGATAATTGACAATAGAAGAAAATGGTGACAAATTCGACAAATTAATAGTAAGAATATTGACAAAAAAAAACAACTTTGGGTAAATCTCTGGTGTCAATCTGACGGCTCGTTATACCTAATCATTATATTATATTATATTAAATAATAAAAATCATCTGTAATTGAGACGTAATATTTACTTAACGTGAAAGAGAAAAGTACTAGACATGAGTCAGCGTGTGGATGATATCATTTGATAGATCACGCGATCAAGACCGCAGTAGTGGGCGGAAGCGAAGCTTATAAAAGGTCTAGCAACCTTAAGTACGCCCCCCAGTAGCTGATGAGCACTCCGCAATGTAGCGTGTCGGTAGAGTTCTCCGACCTTACGGTCGATGCCGTAGTTTATTCCTCCGTATTGTAATATATTACCACCCCGTTTACTGTATAGTAACTCATGTATAACCACCCCGTATATAAGATACAGTGGGGGGAAATAAATATTCGTACACTTGAAAAATCGCATTTTAATGTATGTAAGTACACAAACTTAACAGGAAAAGTGATTTAAATTATGTATAGAGACNGTATTAAATTAAAATAATGCGGATTTATTGTTTTGTACGAATACTTTTTTCACCCCGAAAAGTGAACATGTTGCATTGTTTTTTGTTGCATTGAGATTTAATTTCTATTGATAGTATTTTTGAATACTATGCGTCTCTATACATAATTTAAATCACTTTTCCTGTTAAGTTTGTGTACTTGCATACATTAAAATACGATTTTTCAAGTGTACGAATATTTATTTCCCCCCACTGTATGTTATCTAGCCAGCTGTGTCTTACATAACCTTCACGACCTTAAGAGCCCCATTCACCATAGAGTCCGACTCGCGAGTCTAACCCGGCTAACCTCAAATCCCCCCAAATATGGCGCCAAACAAGCCGAGGTGGGCAGAATAAAGGCGAGCCAAGGTGGACAAAATAAAGGCGAGCCAAGGTGGACAAAATAAAGGCGAGCAGAGGTGGGCAAAATAAAGGCGATCCGAGCCACGGAAGTGTACTGAGCCCATACTTTCGAAGAAAGTTAAGAGATCGTAAGTTCATCAGCCAATCATTGACGGCCTTTCAAGCATAATCCACCAATCATAGACAAAAAAATAGAGCGTAAGTACTTACGTTCACTTAGCGAGTTTTGAAAGTATGGCCCCAGTTGCAATGAAAACTCATGTGCAGTCATGGCGGACTTCAATATATTCATGAGCCCCGACTTCCTAACCAAGTTTATTGAAGAGTACCGCAATTTGCCGTGCTTGTGGAAGATCCGTAGCGCAGAATATTCGAGCAAATTACAAAGAGATAAAGAATGTGAATATCTCAATCGAATTACGCGAGAAAAAGTTCCCAAAGCAGACCTTAACTTTGTTAAGAAAATAAATAATCCTTTTATAGTTTTGATAGTCGTTATGATTATCGTTGCGCATGAAATTTAGCAAATTCATATTGACTGAATATTTGTCGATTGACTAGCCATTCTTTTTGACTACATAGATCTTTTCTTCCGTTGCTTTTTCACTGCTTAGAGCTCATTCAACACGACCTTATGGCCACGATGGCATCAGTTGCAACTTGTGAGCAAAGTACGTAGGTGTGTGGTGGAAAATCGCCGAATCAGATTCACTAGTCAGAATCAACTAGCCGACTCGTGCGTCAGATACGCTAGTGTATGGGGCTCTTTAGTCACGTAACACGATCCTCAGGTAGAGCTTAATATATGAGCTCGGGACATAAAAAGGGCGTCAGCACTCAAATCAGAAATTTGGACCGAATGCGGCCACGTCAGCAGACCGGGACCGAAAAGCAGGTTCGAGCGGCGACCTCAAGACCGGGACCGACCGGCCGATTCCAGCCACGCCCGTAGACCAGGACCGATCGGGCGGTTCGAGTGTTGCGTTGGATCTAAAAAGAATGCACAACCCCGGGCTGTAACCAGTACCACAGAACCATGGTTACCTGCTACCACCTGCACCACAACCATGGTTACCCCTCCCCCTCACCGGGGTGTGGGGGGCAGTCCTGCCGTCCGTCACACACGCGGTCCAGGGACACGCAGGAGCCGTCCCCGCACTCGAACGTCCCGTTGCACCGCGGACCTGCGGGGGGAGGGGGGTCAGTGGGGTGTGGGTGAGTGGGGTGTGGGTGAGTGGGGTGAGGGTGTTATTAATACAAGAGGAGTGGGGTGTTCATACAGTTGTATGTTTACACACCAAAGTATGTTAAAGTGTTAATACATCAGCCAATATACAGTATGCTGTCAGTAATTCACCTAAACTGCCCACTCTTCATCTGGACAGCCCACCCCCACCTGGGCAGCCCACCGCCCACCTGGACAACCCACCACCCACCTGCCCTCCTCCCACTTCCCCAGCCCCACGCCCACTTGGACAGCCCATCACCCACCTGGACAGCCCACCATCCCCACCGCCTACCTGGACAGCCCCCACCGCCTACCTGGACAGCCCCCATCGCCTACCTGGACAGCCCCCACCGCCCACCTGGACAGCTCCCACCGCTAACCTGGACAGCCCACCCCACCGCCTACCTGGACAGCCCACTTCGTCGTCGCCCCGCGCGCAGTCGGCGCGGCCGTCGCAGCGCAGGGCGGCGGCGATGCAGACGTCGTCGGCGCAGCGGAACTGGGACGCCGCGCAGCGTCCCCGGCACACGTCGTCCCCCTCGTCCCACCCCCCCGCGCAGTCCTGGGGGACGGGGGGTCATTAGTACTGGTACTGGGGCCACGCACCTGGTCCCCGTCACAGAGGTACTGGTACTGGGGCCACGCACCTGGTCCCCGTCACAGAGGTACTGGTACTGGGGCCACGCACCTGGTCCCCGTCGCAGAGGTACTGGGGCCACGCACCTGGTCCCCGTCACAGAGGTACTGGTACTGGGGCCACGCACCTGGTCCCCGTCGCAGAGGTACTGGTACTGGGGCCACGCACCTGGTCCCCGTCACAGAGGTACTGGTACTTGAGGCACGTGGCCTCCTTGGGGCAGCGAACTTCGTCCTCCTTGCACCCCGGCGCGGCCACGGCGCCCCCCGTGCAGTTCTGGGGGTAAATGAGGGGTGAGTGATGGGTGGAGTTATGGGAGGGGGTTGAGTAATAAGAGGGGGGTGAGTAAAAGAGCGATAAGATCATATATTAAAAGTTACAAGCAGAATATTTATCAATTAGAATATAGTTGTGAGTGCCGTAGGAGGTTGCCAGCTAGTAAATATCAGCTGCTGGGCGCCGCAGGAGGTTGCCAGCTAGTAAATATCAGCTGCTGGGCGCGGGATATATAAGGCGGTAGGCGCGGCAAGCGACCAGTTCTCCACTGACCGAACAAGAGGAAGGTTGTCGTGTCTCGTTTATGAAGTAAAACGAGTATAAATACACGAGCCGTTTTGTACGAATGTGTATTCTGTGTATAAGCTCCAAAACAGATGTTATCCTAGCCGTGTGGTATAAATGTGTATTATATACTGTATTTATGCTATATAATGTAATGTATATATGCTACATAATGTATATTGTATATATGCGATATGATGTATCCTGAATATGTATAGACGTACCTGTTCATCCCAGCCGTCCTGACAGTCTGGCTCGCCGTCACACAGCCACTTGCTCTGTATACAGGTACCGTCCATACACTGTACCTGCACAGCCAATACATGTGTTAGTAGTGCACAGGATTCCTACCGTTATTTAGAAAAAAATTCCCTGACTTTTCAATGACCATCAATATAATTTTCCAAGACTTGTATACGGGAGGTTTAGCATGACTGAAAGACTAACCATACATATTCCATCATCTCCTGTTGATGATAGATAAAGATACTTAGACATAGATTATCAACTGATAGACAGTTGATAAATAGCAAACGTGTAAATTCATAGAGCAGGCAGACACAGAGGAACAAAAATGACACAAATCTGAAAATCAAGCCCACACTTTTATCATTATGAATTCAATAGCATCAAATCACAACAAATATTGAGTAATGCACACAAGATTGCACATGATAATGTCAATACAGTTCAGAACTCTTCAACAACACAAATTCCTTGACTTTCCGTAATCTGAAATGAAATACAATGACTTTCCAGGCCTGGAGAGTGAAAAATAAAATTCCATGACTTTCCAGGTCTTTCATGACCGGTACGCACCCTATGCTATCATGCACAGCTGTGACCCACTTTACAGCAGTGACCCAGTTTACACTGCTACCCACTTTACACCGTGACCCACTTTACAGCAATGACCCTCTATACACCATGACCCACTGTACACCATGACCCACTGTACACCATGACCCACTGTACACCATGACCCACTGTACACCATGACCCACTGTACACCATGACCCACTTTACACCATGACCCACTTTACACCATGACCCACTTTACACCATGACCCACTTTACACCATGACCCACTTTACACCATGACCCACTTTACACCATGACCCACTTTACACCATGACCCACTTTACACCATGACCCACTTTACACCATGACCCACTTTACACCATGACCCACTTTACACCATGACCCACTTTACACCATGACCCACTTTACACCATGACCCACTTTACACCATGACCCACTTTACACCATGACCCACTTTACACCATGACCCACTTTACACCATGACCCACTTTACACCATGACCCACTTTANTTTCTGTGAAGTTCATTGCTTATCGTTCGTTTGGTTACTTGAATTCCTGAGGCACTCAGGTGACTTTGCAACTCTCCTCGAGTAATCTGTGGATTTTCTTGGATTTTTCGTCCCAATAATCTAGCAGATCGTGCAGAAATCTTCCTAGGAGCACCTGATCGTCTTTGGTTTTCAACGCTGTCACGGGTCTTGAAGCTGTCTCTTATACACATCTAGATGTGTATAAGAGACAGGTACCACACTGAGGTACTACACCACAAGTACCACACTGAGGTACACCACAAGTACCACACTGCGGTACACCACAAGTACCACACTGAGGTACACCACAAGTACCACACTGAGGTACATCACAAGTACTCACCTACACACTGTGTTCCATGTACCAAGTGGTACCCAGGCCGGCAGTCGCAGTGGTACCTGCGGACCATCACGTACCATTACAAGTGTACCACCGCGCTATAATTAATATATTAATAATTATATAAATTATAATTGATAGTTTTTATATAATATAGATATGCGGGAACTATATTATATATACGTATTATATAAAATATATATAATATACATAATGATATAGATGATAAGTGATGATATTGAGAGTAGCAGTTCAATGGAATATAGCAAGTAATATAATGTATAACTAATATAATATAGAATAGTAATTACTTAATTGATATTTAATTAATAATTACATTCAATTAATAATTGCAATATTAATTTATATATACGAGTGGAGGGGTGTGGGGGTGAGGGAGGCACTCACCCCACGGGGGTGTGGGGGTGAGGGGGCACTCACCCCACGGGGATGTGGGAGTGAGGGAGGCACTCACCCCACGGGGATGTGGGAGTGAGGGGACACTCACCTCACGGGGGTGTGGGGGTGAGGGGACATTCACCCCACGGGGGTGTG